CTTTAACAAATGGTGTTGGGAAGACTGGACAGCGACATGCAAAAGAATGCAACTGGAGCACTTTCTTACACCATACACAAAAAGAAACTCAAGATGGATTAAAGACCTAAATGTGAGAGCTGAAACCATAAAATTAATAGAAAACATAGGCACTAATTTCTCAGACATGGGCCATAGCAACTTCTTTCTAGATATGTCTGCTCTGACAAGAGAAATAAAAGCAAAATTAAACTACCGGACTACATTAAAATAAAAAGTTTTCACACAGCTAAAGAAACAGTCAACAAAACAGAAAGGCAACCTGTGGAATGGGAGAATTTGCAAATGACATATCTGATAAGGGGTTAATGTCCAAAATATATAAAGAACGGATACAACTCACCTCCCCCCAAAAAATCCAATTAAAAAATAGGCAGAGGACATGAATAGACATTTTTCCAAAGAAAACATTCAGATGGCCAACAGCCATCTGAGCATGAAAAGATGCTCAACATCCCTTATCACCAGGGAAATGTAAATGGAAACCACAATGAAAAAAAAAAAACAGCAATGAGATATCACCTCACCTCTGTCAGAATGGCTAAAATCAAAATCAAATCAAAAGTAAGAAACAACAAGTGTTGGTGAGGATGTGGGGGAAAAAACTCAGTATACTGTTGGTGGAAATGCAAACTGGTACAATCACTGTGGAAAACAGTATGGAGGTTTCTCAAAAAGTTAAAAATTGGTCTACCATATCATCTAGTAATTCCACTACTGGGTATTTACCCAAAGAAAACAAAAATACTAATTCAAAAAGATATATGCACCCTATGTTTATAGCAGCATTATTTACAATAGCCAAATTATGGAAGCAGCCCAAGTGTCCATTGCTAGATGAATGGATAAAGAAGATGTGGCATTATAAACACACACACACACACACACACACACACACACACACACACACAATGGAATGTTACTCAGCCATAAAAAAGAATGAAATCTTGGAGCGCCTGGGTGGCTCAGTCGTTAAGCGTCTGCCTTCAGCTCAGGTCATGATCCCAGGGTCCTGGGATTGAGCCCCACATCAGGCTCCCTGCTCTGCGGGAAGCCTGCTTCTCCCTCTCCCACTCCCCCGGCTTGTGTTCCCTCTCCCGCTGTGTCTCTCTCTCTGTCAAATAAATAAATAAAATCTTTTTTAAAAAAAAGGATGAAATCTTGCCATTTGCAACAGCATGGATGGATCTAGAGGGTATAATGCTAAGTGAAATAAGTCAGTCAGAGAAAGACAAATACCTATGATTTCACTCACACGTGGAGTTTAAGAAACAAATGAACGAAGAAAAAAAGAGACAAAATACAGACCCTTAACTATGGAGAACAAACTGATGATTTCCAGAGGGGAGGTGGGTGTGGGATGGGGGAAATAGGTGAAGGAGATGAAGAATCCGCTTATTGAAATGAGCACTGTGTAATGTATGGAATTATTGAATCACTATATCGTATACCTGAAACTAATTAACACTGTATGTTAATTATACTTGAATGAGAAAAAAACCACACAAAAGGCTCATCTCCAGGAGAGAAGCTATTCAAGGGTCACCAACATGGTTTATCTTTTAAACCATAAAGAAGAGACAGAAGAAAAATCACCAACACCCTAAAAATCCCCTTAGTTTATGAAAACCCAACAAAAAGCAACTCAGACATGTTCCTCCATTGATCACTTAGGAGTTATTCTACGAATCTCTAATTCTGCCATCCAATCAAAACTGTTCTCCCAGACTGCAGAAAGTATTACAAAGAGCTGCTTCAATTTGACTATTGAAAATAAATATCTATTCATTCCCATTTTAACAAAGGCAAACAAAAAGAAACCATTGTTTATAGACGAAAAAGAGATGATTGCAATTTTTCTCTAAAATAAATCAGTGTTAACCACAACACAACAAGGGATGCATCGTTACTGCAGTAGAAGATTTTACAGTTTGTTTCTAAAACAAAGCTTCATGGATCTGTTTAAGCACCGGGGAAAATACAAGCTCACAGTTTTCAAAATGAAGAGGCAGTGCCCCAAACCCCAAGCTGTGGGTTGCACAGGAAAGTTCTGGAATCAAACCAACCAGAGTTTGAATGCTGGTTCTGCCACTCCCTTAGCTGTGTGACCTTGAGCCAATTACTCCTCGTTGGGTCTCAGCTGTTCCATCCACAAACCTGAGCTAACTCAGCCTGCCCACCACAGGACTGCTGGGAGAGTAGAGAGCACATTGACCTAGCACAGTGTCTAGCCCAAACTCACTGGGAGTTTGGCTCTGCTCGAGTAAGGACCACTGAGACCCGCCTGCTTGATGGACACTCTGCAGGGGAGTAGTTGTGGCCTAGGAATGTGGGAAGAGGCGTCTTCATGGCTGGGAGCTGACTGGTCCACGTGCTGTAGGATTCACGGAGGGGGGAAGAGAGAAGGAGGGGGAAAGGGAGGGAGGGAGGGGAGGGCAGTTGGACGGGCTTCAACAGACTCCATTGGGCTGTGATGCAAGCCTCCCTCCGTGTTCTGTCGAACAGCCTTAACTTGCATTTTAACAAACTCCACTCTTTGCTTTATGACGTATTAATTTAAAAACTGCTTTATAATAAATTTGGTTCCTGTGACCTTCTTTTGGGGTTCTTATTTAAAGGTGAATTTCTGCTGAATCCTTGCAGGTCCTCTCCATCTCTAGGTTTACAGAAAAATGGACAACGGCTCCATGTTCCCTTTGCATTCTTTACCGTGTCGGGGGGAGAACAGTGTGGTCTCTTAGGAGTTACAAGAACAGCAAACACTGCAGAAGGCTACAGGTCCGTGGCCCCCATGGGTCCCCCATGGACCCCAGCCGGCTCCCAGGCTGGCGGTCCGCAGAGCCTCAAAGCCCATCAGCACCTCCATGCTCTGTGCAAAAGGGACTCTGGGTCAGATGTTTCAGAGCATAAACCTAAGCATCCACGTTGTCCAAGGTTTCATTAACTTTAGTTGATAACTTGTTATTGACCTGGATTAGTATAATTATATGCAAAGTTTACTGGGTTTTTTTGTATCTCTATATTTTATTAACAGGTAGTTACTTCTGTCAGTCCTGATAATCTACTAGATTGTCCTTTCTATAACCAAAACCCAGATAAATGTACACGCTACAGCATTTGAATTTTTGCCTTGAAGATTTTTTTTAAAGCAAGCAACTGTTGTATTTTTTTGCCTTAAATCAAAGCCAGTATTTCTCTTGCACGAATCTGTCATTTGTTGCTCGCTCACCGAGAAACATGAAATTGACAGGGTTGGTATTTCAAAGCACACAAAACTGGTTCAGCCATACCCCGTAACCCTTTTGCAGGGCATAATAAGACTAATCATCTTTCCTCAAGAAAGGTAGCTAGCGAAGATTCCCGGGCCAAACAGGGCACTTCGTTTCCAAGGGCGGCACCTAATTTATTCAGCCTTGAGGAGAAAGACGTGGGGCTGACAGTGTGGAACGGATTTTTTGGCAGAGTGAATTAGAGATCCTTTGGCTGAAGGGCCCTCTGCCCACTCTCCCCTTGCTAGCAGTAGATCAGGGAAGAGAATCATTACACTTAGAAAAGCTTCATCCCTTCCCTTGCTTTTAAAACCATGTGAGAATGTTTAGCTAAAGAAAAGCAAATTGTAACAAAGCAGTTGGTAACTGAGATGCTAGTCACTGGGAACTCCAAACAAACTATTCGGGGCCTCTATTCAAAGGTTTATATTATTTCCTTGACCCCTGAAACTTTCAGCCACCCTGCGGAGAAGCCTGCGTTCCCCCCACCCCTACTTCAAAAGGGCCCTAAATCTTCACACTCTGAGTCTCGTTGGTATGGAGAAAACCTCTGAGCCAGACAAATTGGTAGAACCCATTGTCTGGGAAGGGAAGAGGGCCATGCACCCTGGGAGTGCATAATCAACCAGAAAGGGTCACGGAGAGGCTCCTAGCAGGGGAGAAACTCCCAGGAACACCTGAATGCTACTTGGTTCTTCCAAAAGACGACTAGGTTCAGACGTTCATTCCCCAGCTTCCCAGTTACTATTTCTAGTTATAGTAGATCAAAAAAGGAATGAATCATCGTGTGGATATTGCCTAAAATCTATATTTTTAGTTAAACAACATTCATTTGATTGACTTTCCCTGGTCTATCCCCAGAGGCTCTGATGTCCTAAAGATATGGCCTAGTGAGTGCCCTCAGGCACATGTGACTAAGGTCGCAGGAGCCCCACACCTGCCAAGGCGCCCCTGACAATGTCAGCAAGCCCAAACCACCAAGATTATTCTCTGCTGTGTAAACTCCAACTCACATTTATCGTTCGCTTAGGAAGCTAGGCAACACTCTTGAGGATGTCAGGAGTAGAGGAGGTGAACCCCACAAGGCATGGGGGGGACACCCCACAGACGTGTCTGCCTGCGGGGGTGGAAAAGCATCACCACCACCCCCCCATCTGGGCAGGGAGAGTGCCAGTTTTCACAAAGCACAACCACACAGACCATTCCACTGGCAGGGATCAGGAAGCCCACTTCATAGCACAGAAAACCGAGGCCCACCGACGCTGGCAGCTTTGTCCCAGGAATCTGAAAAGAGCCACCACTCCATTTGGCTTGGGCTTCGAAAAGGTGGGTCTCAGAAGGTAGAAATTTGGTCCAAACCAACAAATAATTGTGGGGGCCTCCGAAGGCGGCAGACCAGGGAAAGCGTGAAGCGTGGGGTCTGCAGCTAGAGAGTTGGGTGTCGCCGAACCACGCCACCCTCAGTTCCTCGGCTTACGGAAAAGGCCAGTCCCAGTCCCGCTGCGGAACGGTGTGGGCCCGGGGCGAGGAACTCCAAACAGTCTACCAGCTGGAGACAGTGAGCAGATGTGAAGTGTCACTGTTACTTTTTGCGAGGCAAGTGCCAGGCCTTGTTAATAGGAGACACACAAATTCCTGAGGATGGAAGCAAGGGAGGGCAGGTGGGAGGGAGGAATACGGCAAAGTCAGTACCTTCTCCCTGAGCTTTGCTTTCTCAGGACAAAAATTCGGCACAAAACCAGGCACAGTTGGCCGCCTGGCTCTGTGGGCACCTGGCTGGCTCTGGAGGACTCTGTGACAGGTGGCTGCCCGATCGTGGCTTTATGGTTCCCTCCAGGGGAACCCTTCACCCACAAACCAGGCTTTCCCCTGCATGTCGGCCAGGCATCAGGCCAGCATCCAGGACAGTGGGGAGACCCGTGCAGAGTCTCAGCAGGAACCGTCCCGGGGGCACAGGGCCAGCTTGACTATCGGGTCCCACTGGTGCACAACCCCTTCCCCCCTCAAGCCCCCGGGGCCTGATACGCTTCTGAATTCAGATTCTGACTTCAGAATGGAAGCACGGAACACACATCTATTACCCAATAGTCCCAGAAGCCCCCGGGGCAGCATCCATAAAAACACACTCAAAATATAGGAAAGCTGAACTCTCATCTCAAAAGAAATAAAATATAAACCATGAAAACCACATGCTTCAATTCAGATGAGCTGTTTTTTTCCTCACCAAGTAATTTCAGAGTAGGCCAAGACTAACTAACAAACGAGTTACCAAAAACACATTTGGTGCTCAGAGCCTTCTGATTTTGAAATCACAGATAAGGGATATAGGCTGACTTAGCAGCTACTTCTCCCTCGGGGCTGCTGCGTGTCAGGGCACCTGAGACAAAGCCCATGCTAGGGGTGGATCTAGCAAACAGGCCAAGCCCCAGCCTGGGCTCCGAGGCACCTGTCCGCGTGCCGGACACACTCCTGGCCACGCGCATAAGGATGTACTACTGTGACATCAGCAGTTTCTCCAACCCTTTAAGAAACATCAGATGGTGATTTCAGGGAGAACAGGAGTTTAAAAAAAAAAAAACAAGCAAGGCCCTCTACCCAGAATGTAGTCCTGAAGAATAAGATCAACGTTCAGTAAATACAATATTTAAGAAGATAAGAAAATTCACACTTTTAAGAAAATGCTATGGAAGCCTGTAAATAATCTTCTAACGGCTTATGCGTTACGTATCCAGGTTTCTAAATGTCAGCTTTTCCCAAAGCGGAGTGCATTAATAATTTTCAAGATCCAGCAAAGCAACAACAAAACTTGCAGAATAACAGATGCAATTATCTAGACCATATTTTCTTTTTAAACAGAGTGCTCTGCTAAAGGTAGATTACCAGATGGAAGGAATCGCTGACATGAGGACAAGGAAGAGAAGTACAGCTCCAAGGGCCCTGGACGGAGACCTGTCCTCGGGGCCCGTCCCTCACCCACGTGGCCGTGGGAAGCTGGCGGCACCCATCCGTCTGCCAGGCCCTCTGTAAAATGAGTGTCATGAACAGTATTTCACTCACCTCAGAGTCTACTTGTGAGAAGTAGGTGAGAAACAGGTCTGAAGGAGCTTTTAGAACTCTAAGATACTAGAGAGGAGAGTGTTTTACATTGGGGTTATGTTTTTGGGTCAGTAAAGGGTGTGAAAATCGCATCAAAATTACTCTTGAAAACTCCCTTAGTCCACAGTGCACAGTGTATGGGGTTTTGTGTAAAACTGTCCCATCTCTCCACAAATCCCTCCCATGTTGGACCAGATGACAGTGGTTGGACTCTGTTTAGAGGCCATGGTGAACAGAAATCAGGTAAATAAAACAAAATAAAATTGCGCATATGGTTTTATTCATAGATCTAGTTTTCCACCAACTACGTGCACAATATGTGTCGTCCATGTGTGTTGCAAGTCTGTGCGCTGACCCCATCCCACACTCGTTAAGGGGCTTTGCTACATACAACTGAGCTATCTCACTACTGTAAACAACGAAGAAGCGCTCTTGGTAATACTGAAAAGCTCTTCAGGGTCAGGAAGTTCTCACTTCGCCTTTCGGGATGATTTAAAAATAGCATGGCTCTTTCTAAAATTTTACTCTTTACTTTTCATTCAACAAGCATTTATGAAACATACTCGACGTGCAAAGCACCTTGCAGAGCAAGGGAAGAAAGCGAAGTAGAAACACAATATAGGGTCCCTGCCCTGAAGGAACTCACTAGCTGGTGGTGAAAACAAAGGCTGGGGAGCTAACCATAATGCAGTGACGGAGTGAACCGCATGCCAATCAGAGGTGTGTGTATCGTATTCTGGAAGCACAGAGAGGAAAGATGAAGTGGCTCTGGGTAGATGCGGAAGAGTTCACGAGGACACAGTGGGGCCCCAGGATGAACTGCATCTCAGTGTGCGAACAGGAGGGGATAAGGGTGGATAAAGCACGACCACAGAGCCACGGCAACTCTTGGCACACCGGAGGAACCATGCACACGGTAGGCAGAGGGATGTGCTAAGACCCCAAATCCAACATCGATGGGATGCCTACTTGGCATCAGGAAGCAGGGTAGGTCAACATGGTTGCAACCATCAAGACAGCAGGAGGGCAACACGCACGACTCGACACGAACCTCTCCACTGTAGACCACACTGCTGGACCTCTCACACTGGCCCTCCGGATCGTCCCTCCACTCTTCTGTCCTACCCTCTGCGCTGGGAGGCTGCTGGGGTTGGGGGTGTTGCCACATATGCTCCTTTGTTCTCTGGCTCCCTTTGCATCTGCCCAGCGGGGCACAGAGCAGCAGATGGGAGGGAGGGAGGACAGTGGGGTCAGGGTGTCCATTCCCCCAGCTTTTTCATAGGTGACAGAATCAAGATTCCAACGCAGACCTGTCCTTCTCCAAAGCCCATGCTCTGAACCTTGGAAAAAGTGATTTGTTGATAGACCACAGAGTGTCTTGAAAGAGATGCACATAATCTTTTGTGCTAATTCTCAAGAGCGAATGACTCATTTTGCACGTAGGACGCCTCTGCTTGCTTATTTTTTAAAACAGTACTGCAAATGAGCTGCTCCAATCAGACAGTCATGTCATAGATTGTGCCAAATGTGTAACAGTGATCTCTAAAAAAGAAAGAAACTCAGGAGATATTCCAAGACTCCCGCCCAGATCCTTCCTAGATCATGGGTCTCACATCTGCTGTTTCCTTTCTTAGGTTCTTAGCTAGTTGTGAGAGAATGCATGCTATTGGTGATCAGAAGGCATATGTCACGGAATTTCTTTAGCAAACATATGCCCCTCATCATTTTTCTAAACTGCTCTAACATTTTTTTCCCACCTCCTCCATTCCTAAGAGAGCATAGACACTTGTGACCCTGCTCTGATTGTCAGAGGGGCCTCTGTTGCTGTTGGATGGCTGTAAGGACAGTTCCGAGCCTGAGCCTTGTTTCTAGAACTCTGCACCGCTCTTCTGGAGCCTGGCCTCATACTGAGGCTAGCTTGGGGGAAAGAACACACTTTTTATTACAGGGATTCCAGAGATAAGCAGCTTAGACTTTACATAGGCTGATCAGAGCTGCTGGATGGCATGTGGGTGTGATCAGGTGACACCCAGCAGGGGCTCTGACAGCCTTGAACTTTGAGGTAATTATCCCACTCTTTATGCTCGGCTTTGAACCCTTAGTTAGACGTTGTTCAGTTTGGGATTCTAGAACTTCATGAAACAATAGTTTTTAAAAGCTTCAGCAAGTGAAATAAGCCAGTTACAAAAGGTCAAATCCTGCATGATTCCACTCACACGAGGTCTGTAGGGTAGTCAAACTCACAGTGACAGAGAGTGAATGGGGGGCGCCAGGGCCGGGGGTGGGGCAGGGGAGTCTGGCGTTAAGGGAGTTTCAGTCCTGCATGAGCGTTCTGGGGATGGATGGTGGTGACGTCAATGTGCTCCGCGCTACCCGACTGCAGGCTCCACATGGTTAAAATGGTGCATTTTATGCTATGTGCGTTTCACCACAATTAAACATTTTTTTAAAGGGTTCTGAGAAAAGCAAGGGAATACTGAGAGCACAAGGGTGCCGGAGAAGAACCGGAAGCACCTGAGCTGTTCACAGGAAGACTGACCAGCGTCACGAAAGCTGGTGACAGCAGTCGCAGGGGCCACTCGGAGAGAATGCTAAAGCTTCCTCGGCAGGCGGTTACCAGACTGAAATGGCTGGCTCTTTGGGTCCGTGCGCAGGTACAGAGGGCCCGCGGTGTGGTCCTCTAGGAGCTGTGGGTCTGGAGGGACGTCAAGGTTTGCAGTGAGACTCAGACAGGAGGCTCGGGGCACTGGGGGAGCTGGCCTCCAGCAGCTCTGAGCTAGGGAGGCTTCCCTAAAGGACGAGGAGCGGTCAGGTGAAGAAGGACGGGGAAGGCAGGGCCCCAACATGTGAGGATGCACGTCAAGCAGGTGGCGCCTTCAGACGCTGCTAGAAGAAGCCAGGGTGGCAGAATCCAAGGGCACGTGCGGGGAGAGGAGGCCCCTGGGCCAGGGAGGCAGCGGGGAGGTGGTTCCAGACCCAGCCCCTGTCCTCTGAGCTATGGGGAACTTCTGTGGGACTGTGAGCAACTCAGAGATAAATGGGATTTCCGCCTCAGAAAGTGCTACAGTGGGATGATGCGAAGGGAAACAGGGGTGAAGACAAGGAAATGTGTCCGGAGCCCCCACAGCGAGCCAGTGAAAGGCACACAGGTCTGAGCCGGTATGTGGCACGTGGCCCCCCCAGAGATGCAAGGCACAGACGGAACCACCCATGTCCTAAGCTCCCTCCGCGTCCATGATCATCCCCACCTCTGACCCATCACTCGCTCATCAAGCATAACTGAGCACTCAGCATGCTGTGGACAGCAGAGTCGAGTGCCTGGGTTCAAATCCCAGCTCTGAAAAGCACAGGCCAGGGGACCTTGAGCAAGTCACCCAAACTTTTGGGCCTCTGCTGCCTCACCAGTCAAAACAGAGATGATAACAGGCATCACCTCAAAGGGGTGTAGTGAGGATTAAGGGGGGGTACCCGTAAAACACTCAGTCTTGGACCACCTGCTCCTGCTTGCTGACAGCACCACCCCCTTCCCTCTCCTCCCCTGCTGCCCACCCAGTACAACAGGTCCCAGCCCTGCTTCGGAAAGCACAAGCTCCAGTGTGGACATGACTCTGTGGTGAGAGCTTTATCAGTCAGTAC